CAATTTTTTCAGCAATTATGGATGCCATCTCTGCCTTCCTTGACTACAATTATAAACTTCAGATTCCTTTCCCAACAAATGTATAACAAATTATACATTTATTATACTTTCCATTCCACTGCACGCTCTCTTTCTATGTAGATCTGGAAAAGAACAGCCCAGTGTGTGTTGACCAAGTCATGGCCGGTGTATTTATTCTACCCTGGAATTTCTTGACCAATTGGAAAAGCCAATTGCTTTTCAGTCCAGACTTTCTGAAGTTCTTGGGACAATGGGCAAAAATGAAGTAAAATTACCTGAATATTATTTGAATGGCCTTTATGTCAGTCGATAAGAACCCTTGCTTCCCTCTGAAAATTTTTGAGACACTGTCTTTTTTTCTGTCATCCTATGCTCACTGAAATGGTCCATGAGATCTGTCTTTATTTAGTGGCAGTTTTGTTGCCCAAATATGGGTCATCACTTTGACTAGAAGAGTCACGTGGATGGGCACTGGATGTGAGTACAGGCTTCTGGTGGCCAACCATCTTGCATTGTTTCTTGGGTGAACATCAGTGAGTTCTTTCTGGGACCCAGACATCCCTTGGTGTGGTCCCAGATCCATTGCTTTATTTTCACCTGCTTGATTGGATCCTCCATTTCGTGCTGCCTACCCATGTTTTTTTGAGCATCTGGCTTGTTTTGGTCTTAATAAAGTTCCTTTTCCTTTTATCATTCAGCCCTCTCCTCCTGCTAATTCTCTAATGTAGCTCTGTGCCTTTCTGTGATACCTTGTGTTTATTTCAGCCTTCTTAACTTTAGCTTGGAAATTTTTACCAACACCCGTTCATGATGGTAATGATAAGAAGATGCCTCCATCCTGATAGGACAGAGATGTCATGAAGAACAAACACGTTATGATGTGTAATCTTCTCATAATGAAGCTCAACAAAATACAACATGTTCCTGGATTGTAAGTAAGTTTCTTGTATCATCTGGAAAGGCACAAAAAAAGTTGATCATACTGTGGGTTGAGCTCTCTCAAACTCCATAGACATGCACATAGTGGGAGGAACTGACCTATGGTGAAAGTCTAAGAAATTGTTTTCACATCAGCATATAAATCTGATAGAGAGTGTGTGTATACCTCTAGATGACACAGAGAAGTCTGAAAATTTCAGTAGAATATCTAGAATATGAGAAATGAAGTTTTAAGGAATGACAAAAATACTTGGAAAGACACTCTAACTGGGCTTATGTTTCTTTTATTTTCTTAAACACTCAATTCATTTATTAATTTCTATAAGTCAAATTTTAATCTTCCTAATGAGGCCAAAGTCTCATAGTCAGAAGACAACATAGAACAGAGGAAGACTTAGCATATTCCTGATGAATTTTTGTTTTTGTTTTTGTTTTTTGTGTTGTTTTGGTTGACTATTTTAAGGCATTTTTTTCTTTTATAAATTTAAATTAGAAACAAGCTTGCTTCACATGTCAATCCCAGCTCCCTCTCCCTCCTTTCTTCCCCCACAAGCCCTCCCAAGCCCCCAGCCCATGCCCCCTCTGCTCCCCAGGGAGAGTGAGGCCCTGCATGGGGGATCTCCAAAGTCTGTCATATGGGTTTACGTTTCATAGTTGGATTAATTCAATTTATAAGTATTTGGAAAATGGATATACCTAACCAAAGATAACTCAATTTAATGCTTTCTTCAGTGGAGATTATTTGAAAACCCTAAATTGTTGTTATGCTAAGATTCTAGTGAATAAAATTAAAGATCATGAATGAGAAGCCTACTTTGATTAGAATTTGAAACATCTAATAAAATGATGAAATTATTCATTAATAAAGAATTATTAACTTTAAAAACTATTAAAATTAAAAGAGATATTAATGAACAGAAAATTAAGAACAATATCAAGGTTTCATCTGAAATAAAGATAAATACCAAGGAATAAAAATTTTCTCAATCTCTACAATTATCCATCCTTCACTGGTATCACCTTTTCCTCATTTTTTTTATCTCCAAGAAGAGCAAAATTCTGTACAAGACAAATGCATTATTAGGAATGATGTTAGGATTAAACCTAGAGGAAATGACCCCATGCAATACTCAAAATACCCATTGATAAGAGTATATTCTGCTTTGATGAGAAGCTCTTGCAATACTGTATTAGGTTCTTTACAATATCAGGGCTGGTAGAGTTATTTTACATGCTACAAAAAGGTTTTGATTACATTAGCTTATGCAATCAGAGCTAGGTAGTTCAACAATAGCTGTCTGCATACTAGAGAGGCTTATAACACAATAGCGATTTAGCCTATGAAGCACAATAGTCCCACTTGAGTATGTTGAGTCACAGTGTGTCTCTAACGAACTAGAGAATTGATGAAAGACTTCTGGTCTTCAGTCCACATTGAGGGGCTGAAGCTGAGTTCCAAGTAGCAGAAGGTGGAGTGAACAACAAGGGAGAGAATGCAATCACGAGAAAGAAGCAAAATAAGGCAAGCAAGCAGTGCTGCTTGTGCCTGGACCCCTTTATGTGTGTTGGCACAGGTAGGTGACACTCATGCTGAGTCTTCCTATCTCAGTTAATTCTCCCTGGAAATGCCCTACTGATGCACCCAGAAGTATGTCTCTCTGCTGATTCCTGAAGCCATGCAATTACTGAAATTAATCATAACATATTAATCTGAGTCTAGACAGACTTCAACTTTCAGTGTTTTTGCTTTAACTGGGACTTTTTTATATCTCAAAGATACAGAGGTATAAACCCCTTACCTTACCTTCTCACTGAGTGGGTTCTTAGTTTAATTTTGTTTATAATAATTGCTTTCATAGAATTATTTTTTACATCACTTTGAATCTAAGACTGTGCAGAGTAAAACTCAATGTACCTCCAAATTTCTTAAACATAACTGAGTATCGAAATCTGTGACAATGTAACATAACATTTTTAATTTATTGTGTGATAAAAACAGTATTTGGTACGTATCTGATTTAAGATTTATATATGTGAAGAGAAATATTTTAGGATGTGTTTTGAACTTAGAGCTTTGCCATTAATACATAATGGCTATTGCTTGTCTGCCACGTCACAAAGGTAAACACCTGACCCAAAACTAAAGGAGGTAAAAACAAGATAGAGACAGAAATATTAGCCTTCAGTCCTATCTTATGTTTGCCTTGTGAAAAAAGTTAATACTTTCAATGTTGGCAATTTCTACATGATTGTCATAGTAACTTAACAAGTAATTATGTTAAATTTTGTTTCATAACAACATGGAAACATCTTTAATGTGTTTTGCCTAAATTTATAACTGTTAGAGATTTACAATGTAGGGTCCATGTTTTTATTTAAGTTATCTTTACAATTAAGAATGAACTGTTTTCCAAATTTTGTAAAGCAAAACAAAAAATCCACCAAGTAAGAAACATTTGAAATTTTTAGATATTAAATAGATTTTTCATTAAAAAAGATTAATGGAGCCAGGAGGTGGTTGCTTATGCCTTGAAAATCCCAGCATTTGTGGGGTGGGGAAAGACCATGTGGATCTCTGAGTTTGAGACCATCTTGGTCTACAGAGTTAGTTCCACAACAGTCTAGGCTAAGAAACCCTATCTTGGGGGGGAGGTTGTTAATGGAAAAGAAAATGCTTTTAGATGTGAATGAATGTTGTTTGATAAAAATAAGGTTTCTCCTAAAGGCAAAGGATTTTTCTAAAATGGAACCATGCAGGTGAGGGAAAATGAGAAGACTGAAGTATGTCATAAAAAAATGAGTTAATGTGAAGTTTGCACAGTGAGAATAAGTCGTATATAATTAAATGATATTAAAAATTTCCCAAAGTCAAACCTAATTCTGATTATAAACAATGAGGTGTTCCGAACATACCAGTCTGCTGTTAGTAACATTTACAGTTAAGCCGGCTGGAAGAACAGCCAGAGATTTTAGGTTTATCCCTTTACTTAACACCCACTTTTGTTTGAAATTACACTGGTCTCATAGCCACATCCTCAACAAGAAAATTCTACTAATGCATTATTCCTATATGTTATGCTCTACTGAAGTAGCATAGTAATTATGAAACCTGTATTAGTGGAGAATCAAATATATTTCCAAAATCTTGTCTATTTATAACATTCTCATTTCAAACTTCTGCCATTTTTTTTCTGAAAACAGATCTATGTTAACTTCAGCAAGGCTGGGTGACATTCATTTTCAACTACACTAGCAACTGAGAACTCCAAATAACAGAGTTCATTCCTCTAATGCTTTTTCTTACTTGCTTTTTACATTTCTTAAATACTTTTGCATGCAAATATGTAAAAGATTTAGATGTTTATCATTTTCTTTGGTGTAGTTTCCTGATAGAAGCAATTTTGATCTTGCTTTCAGTAAATCTAAAAATAATGATATTAGACCTTATCATTTACCATGCATTTGTTGAGACTGTTTGTTTACCCAGATCTCCTGCTTACATGAACCAAGTCTTCATGTTTTAAAAGGTTCAAGTCTCTCTGTACATTCCAAAATGAATTATCACATTCAGTGTAACTGGGATTTTAAAATTCCAAGTTTTAGATTGGCACAGACCTAAATCTTCTGAAGGAACTCCATTTATAAGATATCTCTATTTTAAATCAAGCTCTTACAGACAAGAATAAATATACTTCCTCCTACTAAGAGAAAAGGGAACTATTAACTGGGACCAACCAATATAATTGCTATGTTAAGATGAAAAATATCAAGGCTCTGAAAAGCCTCTTTCTTTCTTTCTTTCTTTCTTTCTTTCTTTCTTTCTTTCTTTCTTTCTTTCTTTCTTCCTTCCTTCCTTCCTTTCTTCCTTTCTTTCTTTCTCTCTCTCTCTTTCTCACACATACTCACACACACATAAATACATACCCCACATATTATATATATACATATATGCATATATATTCTTTTTACCCATGTTACACAAAAGATGTTAATTTCTATTGATCACATATCTTGTTTTATACCTTAAGAACCCTTTTATAGTGCTCGCTTAGGCAGCACATATACTAAAATTGTAATGATACAGAGAAAATTAGCATGGCTCCTGCGAAAGGATGACACACAAATGCGTGAAGCATTCCATATTTTTTCACCAATATTTTAGTGAAATATTTTACTCCTCAAGGAGGAGTAGATGCCAGGAAATAGTCAAATTGAGGGCCAAAATCAATAAAGTAGAAACTAGGAAAACAGTACAAAGAATCAATGAAACAAAGAGTTGATTCTTTGAGAAGATCAACAAGATAGAGAAACCTCTAGCCAAACTAATCAAAAGGCAGAGAGAGATCTAATTAACAAAATCAGAAATGAAAAGGGGATATAACAACTGACACTGAGGAAATCCAGAGAATCTTCAGTTCATACTTTGAAAATCTACTCCACAAAATTCAAAAATCTAAAGGAAATGGACAGTTTTCTAGACAGATATCACTTACCAAAATTAAACCAAGATTAGATAAGCAGTTTAAATCGACCTATAACCCCTAATGAAATAGAAGCAGTCATCAAAAGCCTCCCAACGGAAAAAAAAAAAAAAGCCCAGGGATAGCTTCACTACAGAATTCTACCAGAAATTCAAACAAGAGCTAATTCCAGTACTCCTCAAACTGTTCTGCACAATAGAAGCAAATGGGATATTGCTAAACTCTTTCTACGAGGCTACAATCACTTTGATATCCAAGCCATACAAAGATATGACTAAAAGAGAGAACTACAGACTGATATCCCTCATGAGCATCGATGCTAAAATCCTCAATAAAATATTGGCGAACCGAATCCAAGAACATATCAGAAAAATCATCTACCATAATCAAGTAAGCTTCATCCCAGGGATGCAAGGATGGTTCAACA